CGGGTTGGGTCAGGGTTTAGAAATTATGATTTGATACGGGTCCGGGTTGGGTTGGGTTTAGAAATTATGATTTGATGCAGGTCCGGGTTGGGTCCGGGTTTAATTATATGGCAAATGCAGGCCTCTACATGGACGTCATCGTAATATAAGTCCAATATATGTAACGCAAAAATATCATCATGTCCCGATAATTATTCGTGAAAATATTTCCCATCTAGTGATATTTAACTCAGGTAGCTCATATGAAGATATTTCAAAAATTATTAAACGTTATACTAATGATGTGAAAGATGCATCAATGGCTATTAACAGCTATTTACGAAAGGGAGAATTTGTTGTGTTTGACCTAGATAAACCCGAGGATGATCCTCTTGCAATTAGATTAAGATTCGATACTCCATTAGATTTACGAAAAGAGATTCAACTACAACTGAAAAACAATGAAAAAGCTATCATTAAATGATGCATGTATGATTGCTGAAGAGCGTGATGTTCAACTGAATATAAAGATAATAGAACTCCATTAATGTGGCGTTGTTCTAAGAACCATGTATGGAGTGCTCCACTTTCTAGAATTAAAAATTTAGGACAATGGTGTCCGCAATGTGCAGGTAATATGAAACTTACTCTTGAGGTCACTAAACAAATTGCACTATTAAGGGGTGGAGAATGTCTATCGGAAAGGTATGTTAATCAATGATTGCCATTACTATGGCGTTGCATTAAAGGTCATATATGGAATGCATCTTTTAATAACATAAAAAATCATGGCAAATGGTGTCCACATTGTGCAGGAAATGCCCGTCTTACTCTTGAAGATGCTAAGCAAATCGCGCTTAGCCGAAATGGTAAATGTCTTTCAACTTCATATAGTAATTCTAAAATTCCGATGACGTGGAAATGCCATCAAGGTCATATTTGGAGCAGTCCGTTTCATAACATTAAAAATTCTGGTTCATGGTGCCCATATTGTGCGGGTATTGCAAAACTAACCCTTGAGGATGCAAAGGAAATTGCACTATCTAGGAGTGGGGAATGCCTTTCGATTGAGTATAAAAATATAGACGAACCTCTAACATGGCGTTGCCAATTTAACCATCAATGGCAAAATACACTTTACCACATTAAAAATAGAAAACAATGGTGTCCATTTTGCATTGGTTGTTATCAAACAATTGAGGATATGCGTAAACTCGCACAAGTAAAAAATGGCGATTGCCTTTCAGATCAATACTATAACTCACGTACCAAGCTAGAATGGATTTGTGAGAATAAACATCAATGGAAAGCTATTCCTAATAGTATTCAACAAGGAACTTGGTGTCCATTCTGCCCAAAATATAAGAGAGAAAAGCTGTGTCATGAGATTTTAACAAAGTATCTTGGTGCCCCTTCACTAATCCGCAGACCTGATTTCTTAAAGACACAAGAATATCCAAATGGACTAGAACTTGATATATTTTATCTGCAATATGGCTTCGCAATCGAAGTACAAGGCATACAACATGAAAAATATCACGAATTCTTTCATGGAGGGGATCCCAATAATTTTATCAAACAGCAAGCATGGGATCAACTCAAGAAAGAATTATGTGAAGAAAACTGGATTGCTTTAAGGTATGTTTGGTACTACGAAGACCCATATATAGTTATTCCGAAACATCTTCTGGAATTGGGTCTTATTGAGTAAACTCAAAACTTTAATTTAATCACTGCTTTTTTTCATCACAGATAGGATTACATATAATGGAACAAACCCAAATTTCGCATTACAAGCCCCACATCAGACAATCAAAGTTGTTCATTTTACAGGTTTTTATTTTTCTAAGCATCTATACTTTTTATTTATTTTATCTAAAATTGCTATGCTAGAGAGGAATCATTATTACTATGTAACAATGCTTCGCTTTATTATTTTATATATAAATTTAAACTTTGTATTGCAAATTATTCTTGCACTTTCAATTTGGACCCATAGCTTGAAAAATCGATTGTTGAATATCATATAGGTCAATCGCAACACCTGGTGTTTGAAGAGGATAAGGAAATTGAGGAGGCACTGAAGAAATGACAGAAAAAAGGTTAGGGAGTTGTGGAGGTTGAGGACAGCCAGCATAAATACAATCACGGTTGATTGTAATCCATTTCATGTGAGGCCCAGTACAAAAATGGCTTTCCCTTCCATTAGCATATACAGAACCGAACTCAATCTTGAAGTGACAAGTAATAATATGAGCTAAACAAGCAAGAGAATAACAAATGTAAAAACACACTAATTCTACCTCTTCAATTGCATCAAATGTTGTAGCATTAGGATTCTGCTGAAGAGTTGCAGTCCGACAAAATTTTAGGCACTGTCAAGAATACAAAAGAATAGATTAAGCAGATGAAGTGTGAAAAAAAATCTCAAAATTATACTAACCCGCAAACGTCGCAAAGGGCGTCTAGTCTGGTTATTACGACGTCTCCCACTCCATGTACCTATTTTAATAACAATCACATCTTCACAGCGATTTGGGACTAGCCAATAATCATTTATCTTATCCTTTACATGTTGAAGTGTTTCTGAGGAAGCAATTTCAAGAATTATAGTAGGCCATGGGTTCCCCTAAAAAAATTATAAATTCACAATGAAATCCATATCTAACAAATTAATAATAATATTGACAAATAATACAAACATTTCGATCACAAGGATTTTGTGCTGGGTTCAGTGGATCGAGTAGACGTTTGGGTATAAAGCATGCGTCCGGCTCTTCATATTCATCTGATAGAAGATTAGTGTATAAACCTGGATACAATAAAATTAGTTAGCACTGCAAAACATGTACACAGGCTAAATTCTTATTAGGACTTACTTTTTGCACCCCAGTCCTCTATATCATCTTGTGCTAGTGCGTTATTGAATGCACTTGTAAACTGATGACTAAATTTGGAGTGTGTAACTTCGTGTTCGCCAGTTGGTAACTCAATAATTGTTATAGTTCCATTACAATAGTCAAAAAACCTCCTGGCCTTAATAATCTCAACTCGTTTTGCGAACCGACTAAATGTTACATCTCTTGCTAAAACCAGAGGTAATCTGACAAGGTAAATCAAAATTTAGCATGAAACAAATGTAATAAGTAAATACTAACGTTTTACCTTTCCTCTTCAACACCCAGAGAACCTAAAGAATCTTTACTCAACCACCAATTCTTTTCCTTTTCGTTGGCTTCATTTATATTTGTATTTGTGTTCACACTTGTGTTCATATTTGTATCTGTGTTCACCCCTTAGTGTTATCTTATTATTCATTATAAAAAATTAAAAATAGAATAGAATTATTTTTCAACATAATAAAAATAGACATTCATTTAAAAGTTATAAAAAAGATAAATTTATAAATTATTTTACCTTCAATTGTTATTATAAATGCAAA